CCGTCATGCCACCCTCATGGAGTCTGTTTCTGACAGTGTGGTCAGAAACATGCACACCAGTACACCTGTTCCTCCTCACACAAAGGAGCAGATACCAGTCCTGTTGCATCACAACCACCCTCCAGGCAAAGGTCCCGTATGGAGTTCATGTTGCTTGTATCCACTAGGGCTGACCCAAAAAATTCGAAGCTTCGAAGCTTCGTTTGATGGCACGGGATTTGATTGTGAAAAAATCACTAAACGTTGCAGTTATTACTTATGCATGGCTTTTTAGTACTTTTTATTCAAAAGTTTATTTCTAAGATCTTATAATAGATTTTCATAAGGTGCATAATAAGGATTAAAAGTGAATAATCCTTGTAGCTGTCGTCAGCTCACGTTATCTTCACTTCCTGTCTCAACTGCGGCATGTCTGCTCCGAGTTTGTGTGTCTGTGTGTGTGCATAAAAGCAGCACAGCGGACCCGACACACACACAGCAGGAGGAGCGGCTGCTGCAGTGTGATCATAAATAATACCAACACTGAAAAAAGTAATCTAACAGTTACAGATAAAAGAACATTGGAGCATCTCAACACTACAGTCGTTAATAACTTAGCACCGCTGCTCGTTTACTACAGGCGAGATTAACGAGGTTAAAGCTTCACACATTAGTGGGGAAAAGTGAATATCAAGGGCACATTCACACCAGGATAGTCCGGGAGACTCGGTTCGAGTGGGCAGGGAAATTTGCGCCTTCATTTGGTTCGGTTCACTTTCACACTGCACTTTTTAAAGCGGACCAAACCACCTGGACAACGCCACGCAGTTACAACAGCTGCTCGTTTAGGGGCGGTACTGACCGAAACAACCACTGACCAGGAAGCAAAGAAGCATAAGGAAGAAGGAAACCCTGCTGATCAATTGGCCAGGACCAAAAATGTTAATCTATCCCCTTCAGCCCACCTGGTCACCACAAAAACACCAAATGCACTGCGCTCTACGTCACTTCCTCCCCTTGGTTCGCTGGATAGTCCGTTTGCATTTCCCACTGTAAGCAAACCGCGCCAGAGTTCACTTGCAAGTGAACCGAGACCCGCAGTTTTCAAGTGGACCAGGGTTCGCTCGTTTGGTCCGCAGCAGAGTTTGAATGAGCATTCACACCACTCCAAATGAACCAAACTATCTGTGGAAGTGGACCAGGGTTCCAATTCAGCGGACCAAATAGAACCAGCGTGAATGCGTCCTAAAAGATGGATCTCAGATTTTACAAATCGATATCAGGTCATTCAAATGAAGATCAGTTGGGATGAATCTATTATTTTAACCCTCCCGACCTCCCACTGTGTCACTGTAGATGCTGCTCATGTTGAGTCAATGACAGCTGTGGCTTCATGTTACCTGCACTATATATCAGCTGTAATCTTAATTATCAGAATACTGCATAACAATAACAACGTCCCATTATATCATGCATCTCTACTTATTATCATTCTTCATCATGACTTTGGGATTTCACTGCACTTTGACTGCTGAGCTGCAGGAGACATGTTTTCTTTCAGGGGTGTCACCTGGTGTTGGCCTGCCCTGGGCCCCACATGTGTGAGGACCGCCACTGAGCAGGATGTCTGCTGTCTGAGCTGAGCTCCAGTGTTACATGTTTAACTGCTAATAGTCGCATTATCATCACAAGTTACTGTCGTCATGTTCTGACGTTAGCATTTAGCATTTAGCACACACAGCTGCTTCAGAGACACAGAGGACACAGAGGACACAGAGGACAGTCTCCTGTCTGTCTCCTGTCTGTCTCGTGTCTTTATTCACTGTCTGATCAGTTTCATTCTGCTTAACTCGACTCATGTCGCTCCTCACAGACTCGTCACAGATCACTATGACTCCATGTCCAGGACTCCCTGCTCCTCTCCTCGTGTCGTCACTCCTCCTACCTGCATGGAGTCCGCGCTGATGATCTCCCCCTGAAGCCGCCTCCCGAGCTCGATCGCCAGCTTGGACTTCCCGGTACCGGTAGCTCCCAAAATCACCACCAACGACGGGACCATGGCTCTCCGTAATGCACCGTGCACGCTGCCTGCGGACGCCGCCATGATGCTGCTTCCTCGGCGCCCAGCTGACGGCAGCGCGCATGCGCATTGGGCACCGCGACGAGAGGTGGGCTCTGTTGCCAGGCAACAGGCAGCCGTTACTGTGGCAACACTGATTGATGAGGGGGTAATGTGATGAGGAGGATGCTTCATCTTATGAGACCAAATAAATATAATTATTCAAACATCTTACTGGAGTCGCGTGACGTCAAACTGGATCAAAACCAGTTCGGTTCAGTCACTGGGAGCAGACTGGTCTCTGCTCATGACTCCATCTGTGAGCACATCAGGCTGCTGATAACATTTAGTGAGATGCCTTTACATTGCACCAATGTTATAATTGTTTCTATGGAAACTGTCCAGGCTCTGCAGCCGTGAGCAGAGATGCTTGTTGCCATGGTGAAGATGCCAGGATCAGTTACCGTGGAGGCTGCTCCGAACAAATGGACGGGGAGAGGGAGGTGTGTGTGTGTGTGTGTGTGTGTGTGTGTGTGTTCACTCATACAGGTGGTTTAATGGAAGATAAATGGGTGTAATATAAAAACCCTCAGAAAAAAAACAACACAACAGATTTTATTCTCAGGTTTCAACCACATCAAACTTCTTCTTACGACCACACAGACAAAAATATACATGAGTTATATTGTTTTATATTTCACTGTAGTTGTATTTTAAGAGCATTTTTAATGTTAAATTCAAATTGCTGCTCAATAAATACACATGTATTATGTGTCAGTGTGACAGTGTGTGTAACCTGTGTGCTGCAGGTGAGCTGCTGTTGCCAGAACCACTCGTACAGTTAAATATCACAGCGAGCATTTTGAGGTTGTCAATGAATATAAATATATATAAATATAATAGGGACAGTAATCGATAAACAACTGTCATGGGACTCAAATACAGCTGCCATCTATAGCAAAGGACAGCAAAGACTTTATGTGGAAGCTCCGACAGTTTGGAGAGGACAAACAAATACTGCTTCTCTTTTATTGTTCATTTGTGGAGATTATCTTAACTTTATGCTTTACTGCTTGGTTCTCACTGTCTGTTGGAAACAGGAACAAACTTAACAAGATTGTTAACATGTCTAGCAAGACTGCGGGTCAACAACAACGCAGCATGACACAACTTTGTGAGTCCAGAGTAGTGGAGAAGGGACCCTCAGTCTTAGGTGATGTTTCTCACCCTCTCCATGGTGAATATGAGTTGTTACCATCAGGACGGAGGTACAGAGTGCAGAGTGGCTGGAAATCTTTCATACTTTCCAGTACAGCTCTGCTGAACAGATTATGCTTGTGATACAAGGTGCACACTATGGTAGGTTTCTTAATTGTTGATTGTTGGTGATGCTGGTGCAGAGCGCTGTTGTTAGATGCTGTCTTGTTATGTCTTGCTGTTGTTATCAGCTGTGGTTGTACTTGTTCTATGGTTGTCTAATGTTTGTCCTTAATTGTAATGTTTCTTAGGAATTTTGTGATGATGCCACAGACACAAAAAGAATTTCTGAAAGGATAAATAAATGAACTAACTAACTAACTAACTAACTAACTAACTAACTAAGACGTTCAGAGAAGGTTCATTGATTGATCAGCTACATTTAGACCAGCTGCCAATCAGAGTGTTTGATGTGTCACACACTGATAATTCCCACATGTGAACAGCTTTTTTGAATTAAATCAAACCAAATTAATCTTTTTTTAAAGATATTTTTTGGGGCATTTTTTTGCCTTTAATGGACAGGACAGTTAAGTGTGAAAGAGGGGATGACATGCAGCAAAGGGCCACAGGCTGGACTCGAACCCAGGCCGCTGCGGCAACAGCCTTGTACATGGGGAGACTGCTCTACCACTAAGCCACCGACGCCCCAAAACCAAATTAATCTAAATATTTGTAGGAAATGTGTGTGCACAACATACTGATACAGTCAATCAAAATTATCCTTAACTTTTTGTACAGGTGTGGTTGAATATTGCAGCAATAATGTGAGGTCACGACACATCATTTGAGAAACACTGATTTAGACCATATTTCTGTTTTTTCCCCACAACATTCAGACGTTCATAAATGGTTCAAAATGTTTTTTCACTGATTATTTGAAGCCTGACTATAGTTCCACTCCAAAATGATAGACTGTTACTTGCAGACTGTGGAGGATGAAAAAATCTCACGATTGCAAATCACAGTGACACATGGTCGAAAAGTGAACGAATCAGTGTCTTCAAATGGTTGGTGAAAAAACGTTATACAAATAGATATACACTCACCAGCCAGTTTATTAGGTACACCTGTTTAACTGCTTGTTAATGCAAATAGCTAATCAACTCATTAACATTTAGTCACGTAGACATGGTGAAGACGAGCTGCTGAAGTTCAAACGCAGCATCAGAATGATGAAGAAAGGTGATTGAAGTGACGACAGGAGACTGGTCTGATGAGTCTGGACATTCAGATGGAAGCATGGATCCATCCTGCCTTGTATCAACGCTTCAGGCTGCTGCTGATGGTGTAATGGTGTGGGGGAGATTTTCTTAGTACCAACTGAGCATGGTTTAAACACCACAGCCTACCTGAGTATTGTTGCTGAGCGTGTCCATCCCTTTATGACCACAGTGTACCCATCTTCTGATGGCTACTTCCAGCAGGATAACGCACCATGTCACAAAGCTCACATCATCTCAAACATGACAATGAGTTCACTGTACTCCAATGGCCTCCACAGTCACCAGATCTCAGTCCAATAGAGCACCTTTGGGATGTGCTGGAACGGGAGATTCTCATCATGGATCAACTGTGTGATGTCATCATGTCAATATGGACCAACATCTCTGAGGAATGTTTCCAGCACCTTGTTGAATCTAAGGTGAGTGTGGAGCCAGATGATAATGATTCTTGAATGTGTATAAAAGAGGCAAAGAGGTCATTTCTGATGTCAAACCATGAATTTATTATTTTCTGACTTACTCTTCATACATAGAGGCTTATGAGGTACAGAAAAAACAAAGTGCTGAGACAAGGCTCCAAAAATCACCATAGTTAAACTCTCAAAGTAAGTAAGCAACGTCCACTGCTACCGTGACTGTGCCAACAGCAGAGACCAGTGACCAATACCAGTCAAACAAATAAAGAAACGGGGCGATCCACTGCTGTGGGCGCTCCCTGTCGAGAAATAATAATCAGGGCTAATGGTGGTTTGTGCTGAAATCATTAGCAGGAAAAACATGAGAGCTAATTCAGAAGAATGAAGGGGAGCGTTGAGAGAGAGATCCTGAAGTGTCTGATGCTCTCTGACTGTCTGACTGTCTGACTGTCTGACTGTCTGTCTGTCTGACTGTCTGTCTTTGGGGCTCTGGCGTTATGTTACAGCATATTACAGCCAATGGCTCTATCACAAGAGCTACAGGCTATATGTGGGAGTTTCCTGAGTGCCGGTAAGAGCAGAGCATGCTACTCATCGTGACCGAGTCATTTACAGTACGATATCCAGGGATACAGTGTTCTCTGTTGCATGGCTTTATGGGAACAATAGGGAGCACCAGGCTTGCAGAATAAAAGCAGAGAGCGCAGTAACATTAAGGTCACGACAGGCTACACAAGTTTAAATCGGTAGATCCTCTTAAGCCCCCCCCCCACCCCAGCCCACCAGCAGCAGATTTAAGAGAGTGCTACAGCAGTGATTGGATTGAACCCAGGAGCGTTCAGGTGCTCTCCGCTCCGCAGACAGAAAGCAGACCGTGCACGCCAAGTTTCAGCACATAACCACCACCAGAGCCCCGCCAGCTACAACAACAGAAACAATCATTAGCTCACACTGAAACAACTCGGTAGGAAAATATAGTATAAAACTTTTGTCAACTCTGACTTGTACAAACAAAAGAAACCCCAGAGACAGGAAACAGAAACATGTAGGCATTGCAAACAAAATAAACAGGTGGTGACAAAGTGGCTAGTGTGATCAACGTTCAGTAAGTGTTTTATTTTGACTCTTTTTCATCATCATTTTATTAACAAAAATAGAAGCTTTGAGTTATCTTTGAAAAGCCGGCAAGCTCGGCCCCGCCTTAAGACGCGGGGCCGACAAAAACTAGGAGGAGTATAGTAGACAGCTCTGGTTTTGGTTCTGGAAGGGACTGTACAGTAAGGGTCCTATATACATAACATCCAACAGGATCGTCTACGTACATTGAAAGGCTTCTATAGGCATTACATCAAATGCAAAACAAAAATACAAATATATCTGACAGCATGATGAAACAAATGTACAGTTGGAACTCGTCGGGCTTCATCTCAAAGCAGACGTTGGCGTATTTGATGTTAAACAAACAGATTTAATTGAAGCCATTCTCTTTTGGTTGATAATTTGAAGCCAACATTCACGTCTTGGCTGCTCTCATGGCACAACAATAAGAAAGTTACAGTGAAATCTTGGTGAAGATCTTCAGAGTGTTTTTTGCAGATATTGATTGAAAACAGGATCAATCTCAAACAACGCCTGTATGGCAACGTATTTTCCCCAAATAATGATAATAATGCTAGGAAACTGGTCGTTCCCACGGTGCTGCTGTTGAGACGTCTACGATGCAAGAAGGGAAACCTGCAGGCACAGAAGTTCGGACTGAAAGGGTTAAAGTCTGTATTCTTTAACCTGGACTCCATTTTCCTGTTATTCATGTCTCCAATGGGAACGATGAGTTTTGAAACTGGTCCAGTACTGATGAGTGGCTGCAGAGTGCAACAGAGAAACACGCTGCAGTGTAACCACGTGGGGCATTTGTGCACAGTCAGTGTACGTCCATTAAAAGAGCTTCTTTTGCCACTGACAGGCTCAAGTTGTTCTTATAAGTGTCTTAAAACATCATGGACGGATCCCTACAAAGATAGACCTGTGTGTTTATGCAGAAACAGCCCTGAAATCAATCTCACCAGACCCCATTCAAAAAAACAGTAATTTTAGCATGTGCAGAGGGAGCATATTTTCACGTCTTAGTGGGTGAGTTAAGGATATAATCTGACCAAACTAGAGTTGGTGATTGTTGGAGCAGAGGAAAAAGGAACCAGGACAGCTTTTGAGAGTTTATTTTGTTGCTGTTGACTTTGAATGAAGCGTGTTCTATGATGGTAAAATTACTGTTTTTTTAAATGGGGTCTGGTGGGTTTGGTGATGGTGATTTTGGGGCCGTTTCTGGTAAAACAAAAAGGATCTTGCTCTTTAACAAAAGGTCTATATCTGTAGGAATTCTTTCATAATGTTGCAAGACACTTAAAATAACACTGAGCCTGTCAGTATCAAAAACACTTCTAGTGGACATAAATTGACAGTGCACATCGCCCACAGCTGCCGGCTGCAGCGCTCTCACTCAATAATGAACCAATTTCAAACCCTGTTGTTTTCATTAGACACAAAACAGGAAAATAGAGCCCAGGTTGAAAAACACCCAATGAACCCTTTAGGCTGAGCTGTTCCAGAGGTGCAGGACTTATTATATCCAGTTGTAACATCACTGTTGCGTGGCTCAGTACAGTCCCACTGCAGCCCCCTGCAGTCCCAAGATCAGCGAGCATGAAGCTCGAAACTTCAACTGCTGACAGGGAAAAGAAGTGTGAAGAAAAGAACAAGAGGAAAGAGGTCAGATGCTCTGGAGAACGAGAGGAGAACGGAAAAGAAGATGGAGCGGAAACGAGGCGCAACTTGTTAACAAAATGTCAAAGTTGTACGCCACGCGCTGAGGACTGTAAAGAACAGTATGAAGGAGACTCTACAGAGACACTTTAGGAGACTGATGACAGACAGAAAGAGGAGACATCTCTGCTGTGCGAGCACACCGAGCCCCATCACAATCAAGGAAACGTCTGACCGGACCATGCAGCAGGAGGACAGCACAGTCGGAGCAGTTTATCAACTAGAAGCTGCGTTCACTTGCCGTAGCAAGCAACAGTTTTTCAGCGAGGAGAACTCTAACAGTTTGACAAACCTATATTGAGTGACAATGGACATATTAATCTGCCCGTATGATGCCCCATAAGATCAGTCCCTAGCTGTCTGTCCTGACTGGCTCGCGGCCTCGTCAATCACTCAGAAGCTCATGTGCAAACCACAAAATAGAAAAGAAAAAAAAAAACAATCCACCCGCACTATTTTCCAACGTGACCAATTCAAAGTGAACATTAGTGTCTTTCTCCTTCATGTAGTCCTGCTCACTGTGTGTGTGTGTGTGTGTGTGTGTGGTGTGTGTGTGGTGACGTTCAGGAGCGTTTGAGCAGTGCCAGCCTCTGCAGCAGCTGCAGCTGCCTGGATTTCAGCTGCTTCCTCTCCTGAGCCTTCTGCCTCTCGCTGACGTGCAGCTGCTGCAGGTACTCAGTGGCTCGCGTCAGGATCGCCACCTTCGGCGTCTTGGGGCAGTCCGCTAAGCCCGGGATCTCGTCCCGCAGCGAGAGGAAACGTGAGCGCAGGTCGTTCCTCCGCTTGCGCTCCAGGAAGTTGTGCGCCTTGCGTTTGTCTGTGTCCTCGCAGTCGGAGGACTGGGGGCTGGAGAGCTGGCAGAAGGAGTGAGGCTTCGAGGGGGAGCTGTGGGGATGGGAGGTCGAGGAGGAAGAGGAGGAGGGGGGAGACGAAGGCGATGTGGAGGAGGTAGGAGAGCAGGCGCTGAGGTTAGGTGACTCTGACCTGGCCACGGTCACAGGACACTTCCTGCTGTCTAAGTTCAGAGGGGCGTGGCCGGGCCGCGGCTGCTGGTAATGGGAGTTCTGGTGCGGCTGGCTCGCCTGAGAGGACGCCTCCTGACGGACCCTCTTCCGAGGCGGCTCAGGCGGCGCAGGGAGCGTGTCCGGCGAGGGGGCAGCGTAGTTGTGCTGCTGTTGGTGGATGGAGATGTGGAAACGCTTCATGCCGGGGTCCAGGGGGTCCGCTCGCACCGTTATGGTCACCGGCTTGCGAGTGTTTACCAGTCGTCGAGGTTTGCGCTGCTGCTTGTGCTCCACCGTCACCACGTCAATCTCCTCTTCGTCCTCATCTTTGTCATCTTCGTCATCTGAAAGGGAACAGCAGAAGGTATCAAAATATGCGTGTGCTCATACAAAACACCTGCTGATGACGGCAGGTGGCGGCTGAGGTGGGAAAGATGAGTCACATGAGGAGACGCACTCACACTGGTCCCTGACACCAAATTCCTCTGTTAATACCAACTTCACACATCCTCGTAAAATCTACATGATCTCACACACCGCAGGATACACACTGTCACGGTGATGATTCACGCCGTTAGGTCAGCTCCATCTCTTCAGTCGTGAGGACAGGGTGAGGGCGAGAGGCAGACACGGGTCAGGGGAACAAACAAATCAACAACACGTCCTGTTAGAATGAGCCGACGCAGATTCAACGCTGCACACGTTTAAAACCACTTGCTGCAGGGATGCACGATAACATCGGCTTTAATATGAACTCTCAGAATCAGCTGACATGCTTTTTCTTAATTTGCAAAATGAATAAATATTCCATACATTAAAGAGTATTCTACTTCATGTCTCCATCTGCTGGTGGGCCGTCAGGATAAAAGTATGAATGCAGGATATGATGTTAACTCACCACAGAAGAGGCTGTTAAACATCTGCAAAAAATCCAATATCTTACATCCCTAATTTGCTGCTCTGTTCACCAGAGTGCAGGCAGGGTGTTAAACATGAGGAAAGGTCTCATCGACTTGATTCCACCAACCGACATACACATTTCAATACTCTTGTAAATTGAAACACACTCTTAAAGTAATTGAGCCTCTGTGGATCTGACTGCTCAGAAAGTGGTAATCTCTTCATGAACAACACAGTACAGACGTGAGGACAAAGAGCTTTAGACAGAGAGGGTCTGCTCATTATTTACACCAGCATTTATATGACAAAAGATGACACCTCATAATACGCTGCGTGCAGAATTCCCTCAGGCAGCCCTAATGGCTCTTTATGGGAGCTGAAGCATACATGTATTTCCTCTATGGCCGCTCATTCTGCTCTCTGAGTGCACATTATCCCCTGAAATGGTGTGAAATAGTGCCTCACACTCAAAGAATTCTGCACACCCAGCCGACCTCCTAAATGGCTAATCCCGCTCTATTCACAGCCCGGGCTGGCTCGGACCAAATCCACCCACTGACACAATTGGCACTGCAGCCTGTTGAGCGGAGGAATGCAGCAACAAGTTCCCTTTGTGACATTCCACACACCATTATGCACGGTCCAGGCTCAGCATCACATGGCAGCCTACATACCAGCCTCAATCATATGGGTTCACCGAGTGGAACAGCAGGTCTGGAGTCAGGGAGGATTCTGGGCCATGATCACTTAAACAGGGCTGATTTCCTTCAGCTACGTGTTACATAAAGTTCTGATTGAATTCAGATCGGAGCCGGCGAGGGGGGGGGGCACAGAGAGGATGTTGTTATCAGGAGTGAGACTGGAGGAGCAGCGAGAGGGAGCAGCTGGTCTGCTGGAGCCAGGCCAGGCAGCACATGTCTCAATGGGCGTGTCGCTCTCAGGGCTTCAGCATGTGTTGCATGCACCAAGGTAACGCAATGCAGTCATCATGTGCCACACCGGCCCTCGCTGCCAGATTATGACTAATCAAAGCTAAAAATTAACTCAATGATCAAGAGAAATGTGACATGTGAGGTCAAAGAAAGTCCTGAGTCACCCTCCAAAATACTCACTGGGGTAATGGGCAGAGAGAGAGGGAGAAACTACAGAGGGGTGTCTTTGGAAAATTAAAGGAACACTGTTGAAACACCACAAAGTGTGATTATATCCACTGCACTACTACTGAGCGTCAGACACACACTGGGGCGGGAATCACCAGAGGATCACTGATACGATATCACGATAATTAAGTTGCAATATCATTGTGATTTAAACTATGTTGCCATATGCTGAGTGTTGCGATAAAATATATTGAGATTTATTACCTTTTTTCAACTGTAAATTACGTCACTGAAGGAAAACTTTGTCAACATCTGTTTTCGGAGCAGCAAAATGTATCTAGTGGACTGAAAACACAACTGATTATATTATTAAAGAAGCTAGCTAAAGTTTAATTTGTAATATTAATAATTTATATAATAATAAAAAAAAATCAATAATTGGCCTTGTGTTACGATATGATATAGCCACACAAAAATATCGCGATACTATGCTGTATATGGAGAGAAAATAAATCAACTCAGTATAGTATTGTGATATTTTTTGTTTGGAAATATCGTGACCTCACATTGTGCCAGGTATTGATTTTTTTATCATGTAGATCAGATAGTTTTCCTCTGGCAACATAATTTACAGTTGAAATAAAAGGTAATACATCACAATATATTTTATCACAATATTCAGCACATGGCAACATATTCAAAATCGCAGTAGTGACTTAAGTATCGTGATAATATCGTATGTGAACAGCCAAACAGTAACAGCCATAACTTCACCAGACAAACCGGAGGTCAAAGAGGAGCTGTTCACCTCCACAGAGAGGCTCCATGTCTGTTACTGACCTGAGGAGTCGGTGTGAGACTCGGAACCAGACGACACTTGTTTCTTGCATCCGCCGGTTAACGGGAAAGTGAGCACGGCAGCAGGGTCCACACAGTCCGCCGCCAGGCCGCTGAGGGCCGACGCGTCGACGGGGGCGCACTGCACCCTCCCCGGGGATGGAACCGCAGAGCCGGCTGCCACCTTGGCCGCGGCCCCCGTCCCGGGACAGGAGGCGCAGCGCTCCCCAACAACTCTCTCCAGCTGCTGTCCCGCAGAGAAGCCGCTCCACATGCAGTCCTGGATGATGATGGAGCTCAGGTTCCCGAAGGAGTCATTGGTGGTGGTCAGCTTGCAGGGCAGGTCCTGCTGCTGCTGCTGCTGCTGCTCGTCCTCCTGCCCCAAGAACTGAGACACCCACTCCAGCTTGTCCCCCAGAGACGGGCACAGCAGCCCGACCTTGGCAGACCCCTCTACCGCCCGGATGGGGGACATGGGCGGGGTCGGCACCAGCTCGAATTTCTTCCATATGTCCTCACTGGGTGCGGTGGACTTGAAGAAATCCTCGTCCGGGTCGTGGTGGTCGTCGTAGAAATAATGTTGGTAGTGGTCGAGGTGGTCCATGTCCCAGTTTTCATAACGAGGCGCGGTGGAGCTGATGCCCGGCATGGGGGCTGCAGGCGGGGGGGTGGGGGGGTGTCACTCCCTGTTCCCTGTGTCTGCAGAGAGAGAGCCAACAGTTGGATCAGAACTGAGCCTTATGCTCATCATAATAATCACAATAATCATCACAGTCCTGTCTGCACACATGGTGCCCTCTGAGGGGGGGGGGGGGGGGGGGGCTGCAGCTGATCACACTTGTTTCATTATATTGTTTACACCCTCATATTGCCCCGTCTCTCAGAGAGCAGCAGCACATGAACTAAGTGTGTGTGTGAGAACATGGTGTGCCAATTAAGGCCACAGCAGAGTCTTCATCACTTCACTAAGGCGAAATAAACCTGGCGATGTTTTACGCACAAAGACGCAAATACCTGTGCGTAAAAGCCGCAAAGTTAAAGTTAAAGTGTGTGTAGCTGCTGAGAAGTTTCGCAACAGTGTTTGATTACATAACAGTGCTTTAGTAGTATGCTGTGACAGGGAGGGGGAGGGGGGGGGGGGGGGGGTATGTGTGCTGAGTGCTCAGCAGAAAATACAGTGATTACATCTGATTGAAAGAGACTAATTGGATGGACAGGTACCCGTCCTGCTGCCAACGAGCCCGCTCAGACAGAGGCTGAGGCTCCTCCTCGGTTCAACTCCTTATCAAGCTCAAAGAATTCAGCTGAGACTCCAACAGCCGATCAGGTAATTAGGCAGCAGGCGCGCGCTCCGAAGCTGCAAAGCCAAAACTTGACGCGCTCCGTGTGTTGTCTGAAACCTGTGTTCACGCGCCCGTGTGTCAGAGGAAGTTGCTGAGGAATTAAAAAAAGAAGAGTTTACCTGGTGCTGAGAGTGAGAAACCTGCCCGCTCCTTCATAGATCCGCTGTGCGCAATGGAAGTGTCCAAAAAACGCAGCGATGATTCCTCCGTGTGTTCGGCCGCAGATGGAGCCGTGACGCGGACCCGCTCGGTGCTTTTCCCGGTTGTAAACAGACGTAGAGATAAATGAGTCGGTTTGGTCGCAGTGCCGCCGCGCGCAGGGCTGGACAGGCTTCAGCTGTGGTCACTTTCTTTGCCGACTACTGCACTGTATGATCCGGGGGAAGGAGAGTTGGCTATTATGCATAAAAGGCGGGTCGTAGTAGGAGAGCCACGCCCGCTGTTTAAAGGGACAGCACACTCAAAAAAAGACGCATGATGCTCTGCAGGAGAGAACAGAGGGTTATGTGACACTGACTTCATGAGATAACACTCAACTGCCTCTGCAGCAAGAATGCAAACATCACAAAAGGTGTGTGTGTGTGTGTGTGTGTGTGTGTGTGTGTGTGTGTGTGTGTGTGTGTGTGTGTGTGTGTGTGTGTGTGTGCATGCAGGAGCCCCTGAGTTTAATCATGCTGTATAAAAAAGGGATCTTCTACAACATGGAGAGATGTGCATGTGTGTGACTGTACATAGGGCGTGTGTTTTGTCCCAACATTCAGGGGGGACATGTGAAAGTGGGGGGTTGAGGGTCCATCACTCATGAGGCCAGCTGCACAAAGCACATTAAGTTTGCTCCTCAAGTATGAAACTTGAGGCTGACATGAAACACCTCGCCAATAACTGACTTAAAAGATCCTGTCACATCAAACCGCAGAGCAAATATTAATTGTAAAGGAGCTGGAAAAGCACAGCTTCGGAAAGCTGAGTGCTCCAACCTGAGACAGTCACAACCATTAACTGACTTCTGGTAAAAAACAAAGTGTAAAATCAGTTGCTCATCATTCAGTGTGTCCATCGGGTTCTCCAGTCGTGGAACACTCTTCTCAGGATGTCTTAATTCTCCTCATTTATCTCCATGAGCTCAACCATGTTGCAGCTCAGATGGAATAAGAGGTACCTTGTGTTTTTGTCCTTACTTTGGTTACTAAGGTTCTTTGTGTTCACTAAGCAAAAGACCAAGATAAGGAGAAAAACCTAAATCCTTCAGTAAACATTTTAAGGAAACCTCGAGGAGAAGACTTGAGGATGAACGGCAGCGGAGCGAGCAGCCACTGACATGAAAGATCACGTTGCATAAAACCGCAGAGCAATCACTGATTGTAGAGAAGCTGGAGGAACACAGCTTTAGAAAGTTAAGTGATCCAAAAACAGACGGTCACCCCGCAGGACTCCACTCAGTCCGGACTGGAGAAGGTTTGTGGGTTGATGGTGTTTGACAGGCAGGTAGGAGGCTCAGTTATCTGTGAGTGTAGCTGTGCTGTAAGTAAACAGTGTGAACTCAGATCAGTTTTCTCTGACAGAGATGAAAGTTTAGCTTGAATCACCAACTCTGTGAGAGGACACCAGTTTAAACCTCCAGACTAACATGTTGCACATGAAGAAACAAGTTATGTTTCTGCTTCTTAACAGTCACATGGATAAGTCAGAGTTTACAATGAACCTGGGGACAAATCCTAGTTGGCTCACATTAGTTATTTGTTGAGAGCATAAACAGAGAGATGCTGAGCTTTTCAGATGACGATCAGTAAGTGTGTGCTCATAAATCAGCCCTTAAACCTGTCACACACTGCTGGAGACATGACACACACATTATTTTATACAACCTGTCGCCTTGAGTCTGATTTATGATCCATGAATCAGACTCACTGGATCAGTTTAAAGAGAAAGAAAACATTGTGACTAAATGTCTTGAGCTTTCGTCAAATAAAACTATGAAGGATAAAGATTTTGACTCAAACTAAAAGACTTTTCGTCTCATGACTAAATCTAAAAAACCTGCCACAATTGTCAGTGTATCAAGTTATGGTGCAAAAGTCTCAGATATTGTCCAAAAAAGTCCTTCTGTCACTGAGGGGCAGTCACAGTGATGTCATGTGGACATATGGCTGCAGTGTCTGATGTCGCACCTCACAGTCTCTGTAATCAATATCAACCTTACAATGTGGAGCCTCTCCTCTCTGTCATGAGTGTGTCACTTCAACAGCTGCACACACACCAACTGCTGACTCTTGTTTTTCCTGCCATCTGAAACCTTCTCAGTCCCCCCCCCCCCTTTTTTTTTGGAGCCATGAAACTATGCCGCAATAAACTTTGGCGCACTCGCTCTTGAGGACGGTGATTGAGAAACATCCGTGCTATAACTGCTCCTCTGAGGTTCCCCCTCCAGCTCGGCGGTGAAGCAGACAGCGTGAAATCTTTGTCTGTCCACCGCATCTCCCCATCAAACTAAGACCCCTCCCCCCTCTCCATCAGCCCTGTGTGCTGTCACTCATCCTCTCTTCTTCTCTCCTCAGTTTCACTCCTGCCTGCTCCTCCCCCAGCCCCCCTCTTGTGCTTTTATCCTCAGTCACCTCTGATCAAAAAGCTCTTGACCCTACATGAAACGCGGAGACTTTAGAGGGTTATATCCTCTGTTTCCCAGGAGAGAGCCCACAAAGACACACTGAAGGAACACAAGCAGCAATCTGTCAATTTCCCCATCTGCATCACTTTCCCTCTCTCTGCTCGTCTCGCTCCTGATCCCTCCTTCTCTCTGCACTTTTATCTCCCTCCTCTCTGTCTTCTGCCTTGTTACATACTTTGAAATACTTAATCTGCCTCCCTGCTTTGAATTAATCATCAAAAGTGAATGGGTGCACGGACGGGCTCCTTCAAATGAAAAGAAAAGAAATATCTTTTTAGATCAAATAAGTAGATTAAGCGTCTCGCCTCATCAGGAGCCGCTGCCCTTTAAATCATTTATATATACAAAAAATATGCACTTCCCTATTTAAGGCAACATTTCATTGATATGTTAATGTTAATATGATTCTGGAGAATATTCCCTACATGGATGTGCTGTGGTGGGGCTCAGAGGGAAGAGCTGGTTTACAGTCATTCCCCGATAGATTAGTGAACCTTGTTTGCATGAAAATAGGAGGAGTAACTTGTGATGTGCTCAGCCTCTCATCTGTCCTCTATAAACCCCCTCACATACAGCACAGACATGACACAGACATGACACAGACATGACACAGACAGATTCATAGGATGAGTAAAATGTCATCTCTAGCCCTTTTTAAACAGGAATTGTGCAAATTTGCAGGAAAGCCCAATCAGTGTTTTTTCAGCATTGGCAGTATAAAAACAAAATCGGGGAGTGCAGCAAAATGCCACCTACCTACTTTTGTTTATACAGAATGTGCCTTTTTCGGGGCAATGGGGGGCGTGAGCAAGTAACAAAACGTGTAGCTCAGCGTGTGACGTAAACAGTGACGTGGGAGGGAAGCCACGGCTGGTCAGTCCTTCAGCGATTCTCTCGTAAGTCGGCCCGTACTTCACCGTCCCCGTCATCTGACGGTTAATGGCCTCTTCGTTTGCGAGGACAAGGAGGGCGCGCAATTCCTTGTCTCCCCAGTTGCTCATCTTTACAGTGTCTGTCAGGTTTGTGTTTCCCTCTTGCTACTAGATGCTCGCTAATTCCTGCTATCAGCTGTTTCCTGTTTATTCACCACAACAGCTCCTCCCACAAGTCATCAACAGCTCCTCCCGTGGTGGAAGGTCGCCTCGGTCTGTTTAAACTTAAAAGGGTTCCACCAATATGTCTACCCTACGAGGCGGAAAATTGGGCACCTCGGATCAACTTGCGGCTCTGTGTGTCTAAACGCTTGCAGCTTGCCGCTAAAACGGCCCAACAATCACCAAAAATCTGGCAGTGTAAAAGGAGCTACTCACGAGGTACCAGTTAATATCTGCTCCCAGAACAGAGACGCTGATGCTCCTCACTGTGCATTTAAATATACAACATTCACTTCAGGTAAAGGTGTGCTGAGGTTAACGTCAGAGGTGAGGACTTGAGTCACATGACCTGGGCTCGAGTCAAAAAAAATTGATGACTTTAGACTTGACAAACTCAAAAAGACTTGCAACTAGACCTGGACTAGAACACCAATGACTCATGACTTCACTTGAAATCTTCCCCCAAAACCTAAAAACACCAGAGGTGTGGACTCAAGTTACATGACTTGGGCCCAAGTCAGACTTAAGTCACAAATTTGATGACTTTAGACTCGACTTGACAAAATCAAAAAAGACTTGCAACTAGACTTGGACTCGTACACCAATGAGTCATGACTTCACCTGAAACCTTTCCCCAAGTCCAAGATTAAAAATTATGTTATTTAAAAACTAACCCCACAGGCGTGGACTCGAGTCACATGACTTGGCCTGGAATCACAATTTTGATGACTTTAAACTCAACTTGACAAACTCCAAAAAGACGAGATACTTGGCTTAGACTTTAACACCAATGACTCGTGACTTCACTTGGACTGGAGCCTTTTGACTTGAAGATACCCAACACCTTCCCTGAAGTCCAAAGATTAAAAAATGATGTTGTTTAAAAACAAACGCCACAGGTGTGGACTCGAGTTACACGACTTAGGCTCGAGTCAGACTTGAGTCATAAATTTGATGACTTCAGACTCGACTTGACAAAATCAAAAAGACATGCAACTCGACTTGGGACTTAAACACCAATGACTTGTCACTTCACTTGTACTGGAGCTGTTTGACTTGAAAACCTTCCCACAGAGCCCGGTCTCACTCCGAAGTCGTCGAAATCCGGCACTTGGTCAGTGACTTGTGGCGTCAGACACCAATGGAAAAGGAGTCCTTTAACTCAAGTTGAAAGCGAATTTCCCAAAATGTCCAACTATTCCTTTAAAGTCAGCAGCTCTGATAAAACTTCACTTCATCATCTAGTTTATTTATTTTTTATTTATTTGTTTCTTTTTAAAAATGGGACAGAACATATTAATGAACATTAACAATGTAAATATGTAAGAGACTGTAGCCAAGCAGCTAATTTCCATCCCTTGGCCCACTGGCAGTTAGGTGTTTCACTCTCATATTTCATCTGCAGACATCTTAGAGAACTAATAACTCACAGGTTCAGCAGCTCAGTGAAAAGTTAGTCTGAAGTCGAGGACGCTCACACACAACCGCCTCTGTTTCCCTCCTCTCTCCCTGCAGCCTTTTTATTACACACTGTGCACAGAGTTGTGTTTCATTGTAGTGTAGTGTGGTGGCTTCTAATCATTACATCAGATTAGATTAAATGAAGCT